ATAGAAAACATCCAAAATGTGTTCCAAACATGTATATTCCAAACATGAAATTAGATCACTCATAATATAATAATGTCATATCATCAAATCAACATTCCTCTGACACCCAGGCAGATTAAAAAGCTGCAGTTGGCATTGAAGAAAAATTCTGGGGCAAAAATATCTCAGACGTCAGCGGTGTTTCAGGGCCCAAATAAATTATCGTTGACAGAACGTCAGATCGAACACCACAAAGACGACAAGAAACCAAAAACTGGCGTGCGACTTGATCTTTCCGCGAGTGTGATCAGCGACACGGTAAAGAGAGGTGGTATATTTCCGCTAAAGTTCTGGTACCAGCTCTGATTGCCGCATCAGTTCCAGCTCTTGCAAAAGCAGCTACACTCAAAGCTGTTGGAACATCTGCCGACATGGCGCTGAAAGGACAATCGGACAAGGGCTAAGGGCTAATGTGGGATCTGGATGGGATGATAGTTTTTTTTACCCAAAACAAAATTATGATCGACTATGTCACGTGAAGAAAGAAACACTGTATATAAAATATTTTGTGCACATGTACACACACATCCATATATTGCTCATTCCTTCCAGTTCTACATAAGCAATCAGTATATAATGACACACGTGTACGTATGTATGTTTTCCAATAAGGAATTGTATTAAGACATGCCCGATGGTAATCTTCAGTCTTTTTTCAGACATTTAGATATGCATTTGTTATGAGTTCTGGCAATGACATTTGCATCTGTTATTTCAAGCTTCACTTTAGATTAATCCTGGATCCATTCCATAGGAACTGTATTATGTACAATATGAAAAGCCACAACTATTATGTCATAGTAACTTCGATTAACTTTGCTTCCATGGCAAGTAACGAATTCACCTTTCTGACAGTTAATCATGAAGACATATTTTTTAGACTATATGTACGTAACGTTTTTTAATGTTTATAACATGTCTAGACCCAGGTAGTATCAAGTACTTAAACTGTATTGACCAGTTTTAGCATAGTCATTCAACACATTCTGTTGACACTCTTATAGCAATATATATATATATATATATATATATATATATATATATATATATATATATATATATATATATATATATATATATATATATATATATATATATATATATATATATATATATATATAATCTATTCTATTTCAGGCCATTCATAATGAAGTTAAGAAAACCACCGCATTGCATTCTAGTCAGTGCAATGAACATGAATGTGCGACGAGTGAGACCTCTTTTTTTCTTTACTATATCAATCATAATAGTATATGTTCTTAATACTATTAGACGGCTAAATAAATATAATGGCTTCATTATTAAACGACCAAACTCTTATCAAACGGTGGAGTATTTTGCAGGACGGTCGACTAGAAAGAAAGTAAAGGTAATAAATTTCTGGACAGGGTTTCACCACGATAGTTTCGAATATCTTAATCGTGTGAATGGACATCTGCGGAAATGTTCCTCTCGGTGTTACGCTACTAATAACACGAAACAGTTGATGGATAGTGATGCAGTGCTATTTAATTTGTCTGGCATATGGATTCCTAATGGTGAAATAGGTACAAAAAGAACGATTCCATTTCCAAATGTTTCAAAACCAAATCAGGTGTGGATAATTCACAATTCTGATCCGCCATTTTGCCTTTTTGGTGACGTGAACATATTTGGAAAAATCTTCAATTGGACCATGTCGTACAGATCGGACGCCACTATAATCAACCCTTACGGCAGATATGTTAAACTGGATGTGTTGAAAAGCAACAATGTTCGTAAAGGTCATGACAAACAAAACATCTATTCGGAGAAGGTCAAGTTCATAGTTGGAACCTTAAGTGACAGCATTGACCCTGGGGAACAGTACATTCTAATTGATGAAATGTCAAAATACATCGACATCGAAATGCTTGGGAAGTGTTACGGCAATAGAGTATGTGGGACAGTGAGGGAAGATTTAAATAAAGACTGTGACCAGAAGATTAAAAAGTACCGATTTTTTCTCGCTTTTGAGAGCAAAGAGTGCAAGGACTATATAACTGAACATTACTGGAGGGCTCTGGATCGGGAACAGATTCCTGTTGTGAACTGGAAAAGAATGGACATTTTGAGCGGTTATGTGCCTAACTCTTACATCAACATATACGACTTTTCATCAGTTAAAGATTTTGCCGACTATGTAACATTGGTCAATAGGAATGAAACTCTGTATAATAGTTATTTTGAATGGCGGAAGAATTTCACTATAGATCTGACTGGGCGCAGGGCTTGGTGTGATTTGTGTGAAAAACTACACTCAATGGACAAAGGCTATGAATCACAAACTGTGGATTTTAAGAAATACATCGACTCCGATATTTGTCCTGCTGCAATGGTAAGCAAATTATTTAAGGAAGGTCTTTTAAAATTCCAATGCTGGGAAGTAACTATCAACTATGATTGTTATTCGCTTTATTTTTTAATGCATTTTTAGAAGCAAATCTCAAAATTTCGAAAATCCCCACCCCCAAACGTCATTATTAAGGTGTCGTTTTCGGCATAGTGTGTGCTTTAGAAGTAACAAGTTATTGTTGCATCAACGAAAGAAGTCTAAACTTAATATCTTTATACTGACAAGATTTGTCCATTAATCAAGACATGCATCGGACATCTCTCTCTCTCTCTCTCTCTCTCTCTCTCTCTCTCTCTCTCTCTCTCTCTCTCTCTCTCTCTCTCTCTCTCTCACACGTATTGTTGACATAATTTTGATTTTCAGATCTGTTTTTACGCATGAAATGTAATAATTAGAGACAAACCCCAACAGAATATGATATACTTTTCATGCAAACTTTAATTCCGAATCTGCATTTTTTTATGATTTGAGTTATAATGTCTCGTTAGATCAATAGTTGCAAAAATGGTGAAGTTATTAAGGTACTTGACCAACGTTCCTGGTGTCGGTACTGTCAGACATGTCCTTTTCCGCTGTTGCTGTCATGGTAGTACCAGTCAATAGTTCGCTGGTAAATATCAAATGTCATATTGAACAATAGGAAGCCGTTACCGTTTCCAAGAGACGAGTTTCTTTTCTATACAACTTTCAACTACTTTCATAAGTTGTCCAAAATTAATTAGGAGATTTTGGAGTTAGCATCAACTCCTTCACCTAAAATCCATATTGTTGGCTACGCACATCGAATGTTCGATTGTTTTACAATTCTCTCGGAGTGACAAGTTTTGCGAAGTCATTGTTTGAACGATTATTTTGCTCTGCCTTTATACTTTCCGGCAAATAATGTTTGGTATCTTAACAGCCGTTTATTCCATGTAACATATTTAAGAATGTTCGGTGATATAAACGCTGTATAAAGCTTCAGTAGCTATTTTACATTGTCGAAAAATATGTTAAAATGAGAGGGAAGTGCAAAACAATCATAGGTAACGAAGATTTTCTCAAACGATTAAATAATGTATGCATTGGGTTGAAAACCAATAGCTTTATTGATGTATGGGTGATTAATGAAATAAAATAACAGAAATTAAAGCAAAATGGAATCAATTGAAGTCACTTACATTAACAAAGGAATTAGTGTGCGATTTCGACTTTTAACTTGGTGTTTTTTAATAAAAATATTCAATCATATCGCTACGATACTTGCAGTGTGGCAGTTGATAGTGACGTATATCACTGGGGTATCATTCCACAATCATTTAGCATCATACTGATACCAGGACGATCAATCAAAACACTTCTTACGGCTGAGCGCCAAGAGAGGCAGCTGGTTTGACCATTTTGATAAGTCTATGATATTACTCGACCGCGGTTCGAACCGTCGACTTCCCGCAACCGAGGAGGGGACGCTTTAACCACTTAGGTTACCAGAGCGGTTATTACCGGAATTAGCAGAAGTACATTCTAATGATTGATTTATTTTATTCAGCAATGGAAATAAATAAAAACTGAATAAACTTTAAATGAATGTTTTTTCTATTTCAGACAAAAATTGTTTCCGCTGAACTAAAAGGAAAATCCCATTTTCTGGTTAGGAGAGTTGAAGGATGAAATCATATACCGCCTGTTCAATGAGTTTCAATGACAAGAACTTATACACAAGGTCTCGGATATAGAGGTAGCAGGTTCTAACCCAGGTCGATTCATGCTAAAGACTTACAAAAATGGCATTATGCCTTGCTAGTCATTCTGCATTTAGAGGTTAGTGTTATGATTTGTCAGCCTGGTGTCAGGATAATGTGACTGGGTGGGATATCATGCTAAATTTTTGATGCATGATGCCCAGTGTTATATGTTGTATATATTAAAATTTTATTGCTTGTTAGTTTTTATCAATAATTTTCATTTCATTGTGTTATTGTAATGTAACATTATATGTTGGACTTAACGTTGTACAAAATCAAAGTTTATTTCTACTGGACCTTCATTATTTTTTTAAAGATTCTGTAAACAACTAATACATAGGTAAAATATATTCTACGTGTATGGGTTTAATATTATTAATAGAAGAAAACATGTCTATTTGGGTCTGGATCTAAATTATTGTGATTTCTCTTGGGTACCTGACCTTATCCAGTTTATGTAATTTTAATAACCGACTATCTAACTGACATTTTATTTTTTGAGCATTAAGAAGCGTCTTGTATGTAATTTTCCAATAAGTAATAGTTCTTAATTGAAAATGAAAATTGTGAACAGAAGTGGAGAAAAAAAATATTCATTCTTATTTGAAGATCAAGCAGAATACATTTGTTTTATTGTAGTGTCCAATTTTTCATTTGTGCTGGAATTTATTTCTTCAAATTATTCAAGTGATTTTGTCCTGGAAATACAGAGTGCTCATAGAAAATAATATTTTTATGCAGAGATATTCACTACGATTAATGATGAATTCAAACCTGGAATTATATTACCGTGTTTCAACAAAAAAAAATAGATGGTACAACAAAACGATGCAAGCTGCTACAGACTATTGATTTATCCTACCGCTCCGATGGCCTTGTGCTTTGAGCGTTCGCCTCGGATGCAAAAGGTCGCGGGTTCGAACCCCATTCGAGTCATACCAAAGACATAAAAATGGTACAAACAGCTGCCTCGCTAGCCATTTAATAATAAGAGGATAGTTTTAGAACTGGTTGACCTGGTATCAGGATAATATCCCTGGGTGGTACATGATGTATGCAGCATGATGCCCCTGTACTAGACATCACTATAAACTGCCAGACTGCAGATATCGTAGCGATATGACTGAAAAATTGTTAAAGCTACGTTAAAAATCCAAATATCTCTCTCTCACACACACACATACACACACTTCTACATATAAATGTAATACGAAAGTATCCAATGTTGTCTCTTCAGAAATATGTAACTTAAATAGCGATATTCATTACATATCACTAAATTTGTTCATATCAGTTTTCCAGCATCAACATATTTTGTGTCTATTAGCCGAAGACAACTACGCATGACTGGAATTTAAAAATTCGTTACCTATGTTATTGCTTCTCTTGAACTGTCAAGTACCCATAAAAGTTTAAAATTTGAAGACATGTTTGAATCACAAAATTGCCGTATTTATAAGTTTTAATCAAAGCAGATTCGAACACTCAGAGGCAAAACATAAATACTACGCCAAAACAAGTTTTGTTCTACGTGTGTTACGGACGTGAATGGAATAGTATGTATTGCAAACAAATCGACTCTTCTTTTCATATTTGACTGATGCTTAAACAAAGACCATACACTTTCAAGTAGACGTTCGTAAAGTATTGTTTTGATGAAATCTAAAGCTACTTGAAGCTACTTGCTAATCAAGGAATATGATTTAGCTGAAAAAAGAAAATTTCGGGTGTCAAATTATAACATTCAGGATGTTAAAACTTTGGCAAAACTCCGTTTGACCTAACTCTAAGGCAGACAAGATCGAAAGCTCGTAAAATAAAGCTGTTATCGCAATGTTGTTTAGACATGTTCAATCGATATGTTCAAATCTTCTCGGTGAAATTATTTTACGTATATCACTTCAACCAGAACCTGCTCAGGACTATAACAGGGTGTGTTTTAATTAATGTCCATGTCTAAATCAAGATGACAAAATTGCCAATCTTACTCGCCAATTGTCTTTAACATTTGCCAGGAATGAAGGTGGATAATCTATGGATTGTTGAAAAGGGACCATCTGTGCCACCACAAGACCATTCGTCAAGAGTACCTCCTTGAGGGCATCTATCTACTACCAGGTCCAGCAGATTGCTGACATTGCTAATGGGAGGCAAAGGGGTTACAATTGTAAAGTTACATAGGGATTACTGTGAAAGGTGGGAAGGCATATTATTGGTAACACTTCCGATTGAATGCATCCACCACCCAAACCTTTGATCTGAAACCAAACACACAACCTGATACCTAACTGTTCAACTTCATAGCAAAGAAGTCATCTATTCGTTTCCTACCCCCCAGATATCATGTGTCTTTCCTACCAACTGGTAGAGACCATTTTGTAAGGATCACCTGTTCTTGTCAGAACTGACCATTCCTCAGAAAATCTCTCATCTGCAATAAGGCAGACTCTAAGACGTGTTGTTGGTCATAAAACTCGTTTAAAAAAACAGTCATTGTGATGGCCATATTGGATGTCCGAACAGCATGATTCTTTTTTAGGACCAACTAGACATTATAATTAACTGTTCAGTATAACCCTATGCTGACAAGATCATCCATCCAGGATGACTGACTAGTAATACGGTTACTTTCAGTTTTACCCTATGCTGACAAGATCATCCTTCCAGGATGACTAGTAATACGGTTACTTTCAGTATAACCATATACTGACAAGATCATCCATCCAGGATGACTAGTAATACGGTTACTTTTAGTATAACCTTATACTGACAAGATCATCCATCCAGGATGACTAGTAATACGGTTACTTTCAGTATAACCCTATACTGACAAGATCATCCATCCAGGATGACTAGTAATACGGTTACTTTCAGTATAACCCTATACTGACAAGATCATCCATCCAGGATGACTAGTAATACGGTTACTTTCAGTATAACCCTGTGCTGACAAGATCATCCATCCAGGATGACTAGTAACACGGTTACTTTCAGTATAACCCTATACTGACAAGATCATCCATACAGGATGACTAGTAATACGGTTACTTTCAGTATAACCCTATACTGACAAGATCATCCATCCAGGATGACTAGTAATACGGTTACTTTCAGTATAACCCTATACTGACAAGATCATCCATCCAGGATGACTGACTAGTAATACGGTTACTTTCAGTATAACCCTATACTGACAAGATCATCCATCCATACGGTTACTTTCAATATAACCCTATGTTGACAAGATCATCCATCCAGGATGACTAGTAACACGGTTACTTTCAGTATAACCCTATACTGACAAGATCATCCATCCAGGATGACTAGTAATACGGTTACTTGAATGATGGCCACTGTGTTGGCCACACTGGATGTCCTGGCACCACCAATTTCATTAAGCACCAAACAGACACAAGTCTTCTGCTGAAACCTGCATGGCAATATTACTTTCAGTTCAGAAGAAGCAGTTACAAGATTTTCAAAATGGCATCTGTGACAGCCATACAGGAAATATGCTCTGAACAATTTTCAATTAGGAACAACCAGACATCATAAGATGTCTTCTGGTAGAAACCCAATGTTGATATGACAATCCATATCGATGAAGTAGCAACACGATTTTCAAGATGGCCAGTGTGTCCACCAAGTTAGATGTCCGATTAACACCTTTTTATTTAGGACCAACTAGATGTTGGACACAGAAATTATCATAAGCTGTACTGGTCTATGACCATGACCTGTACAGTAAAATAAAAATGACTACCACTGCTATTAAGTCCAAACTGACTGTTATCAAAGACTAGTTGGAACTATATAAATTTTATTATCACAAAATATTAAATAACTCCAAAATTTTCATGCAAATGAACACAAAGCCTTTTATCAGTAGTTTATTTTTATTATGTGGATTAACAAAACCTTTAACACATATAATTGAAAGAACTATTATTAAATATTAAACAGACTAAAATTTATAACAAATATCTGATACATGCATAATGCAAACTGAGAATATTATTGATGACAAAGCAATGAAACGATGTCAATTGTTCTGATGAAATATATGCATGTTCAGCTCCATGTCAAAAACAAAACCCAAGTTTCTGGACATACTGTTGGACATGTTGCAACCACAAAAATCATTAGAACATTATGTTATCATGCACATATTCATATAAGAAAAAAAATTCTGCCAAGCTTCAGCATCATCTCAAGAAAAATGTAGTAAAACTCTAGAAGGAAACTGATTATATGTCAACTAAATTGTACTGTGAAAATCAGCTCATTTTATCTAGCAATACAACTTTCTTGGCCCATGCCAAGTTACTTTTTCCTTAAAATGTTTACATTTTGTTTATAAAACAAATAGGTACATGTTCAAGGAATTCAAAATCAGATTGTCTACATATAAATACAAATATGCCTACTTAACCTAATATGTTTACCTCAATTGTTGCTTAAACAGCTTACAAAGCTTGTAAAAAAAAAAACCTGTAAATTTGTTTACAAATAAGGTCACAATCACTAGAACCAATTCAGGTCTATTAATGCACTGATGGTATCTAAATATCGAATTAGGCTTTGTTTGGCTCAATTGTTTCTGAGTCATGTTATATACAAGAAAGTGTATCCCCCATGCTTGGAGAATGGGGGTGGGAAGAAATAATACTTGCCCTTAACATATAACTTTAACATATGAAAAAGTAGTCAACAAAAACTACTTTCAGAACCTCAAATTCTATATTAAAGTAGGATTAAGTTTTAAAATGAATTTTACTCACAAAATAAAAATGTTGACTCAACTGCCAAAGACAGGGTTCTTTTGAAACACAGCGAAAGATGCTTATTATTTAGAAGACATTTAAAATGATGATCAATACCTAAACATTCCAATTTAGTCTTCCTCCACCTCAACACTCAAAACATACCATTCAAAGCACAGCCATGTGAACTACTGGATAACCATCTCTGACCTCTGCTGACTTACAATACAATGTACAGCTAACAGGAGGTTTAAAATAAGCTAATTTATGGACATCCGAGTTGAGTCTAGAGTGTACAATTGGGGAATCAATCCAAATTGATAAAAACTACACTGCAAAATCAACTAAATATGCTAAAACAGGCAATGATATATAATCAAGACCAACCTATTCCATGTTCATAAAATCTGTCCTATTTTTAGGAAATTAATCAAGTTTTTTAATGGAAGAGGAAACCTCTATTCCAAAAATATCTAAACCTCACTTTTATTTACATTAATCTGATTCAAGAAAAACTAACTCCACAATTAAGAAGCTCTCAAACTCTCCAAAAACACAAGAAAATCTACATTGTAGCTTAACATCAACAGCCTGCATATCATTTGTGCAGGAACAGACTGCTCTTGAACAAGACCTTTTTATTATGCATGCATGTTCATCATACAAGGAAAGGAAGACATTTAGTTATTTCGTGTGTGAAGGAAAGGTAGATGTATTACCTGAGATCAGTAATAAGTATTGCAATGTTAAAGACTTTACAGATGATTGGAAATTTTAGTTGGATAGTCCAAGGATTAGTGTTCAAAATTAATTGCAAAACGTACTACCCATTATGCCAAGTATCACGTAACAGAAGATGCCCCACCACAAGACTTGTTGGTTCCAGCTGCTCTGAGAAACTTTCTATGATTTGAAAAGGAAGATAATTACAACATTAATAAATTCAATAAGTAATGTATAATGGAACATCCGTGGAAATACCAAATAAATAAAAAAATTACCTAGAGTCCCTTGAATAGAAGGACGAGTAGCTCATACTGCTTTCGAACTGCAGTGTTGAAACAATCTTCAATATTCTTCAGCAAAAACATTTTCTAATCAGCTGCTGTGGGTGTCACAATTGCACAATTTTTATTACGAACCAAAAAGACATCATTGATGACCAATATGACA